AGAGATTCTCAGCTGTCGGCTCGAAAACCTATGGGGTCGATACGAGCTAGAATAACGGAGCTGGAAGGACTCGAACTGTTTGCTTGATTTCTCAGGATGTACGAAAACAGGAATACACCACATGCTGTACAAGAACAGTGAGTCAGTCAACTTTGACATTGATCCTTGCCATGATATATGTACAATGTACATTGTGTAGGTGCTCTTGTCCATCAATACCACAACGATTGAGGAACCAAAAAAAGTATTCAAAAAAAGTTTCATTCCGGCCGACCGAGTCTTCTTTTTGAGGGGTTGCCGACCGGAAACAAGCCTATTTTTTGTTTTGGCCTTATTATTTTCTTTGCCTTCGCTTTCTTGTTATTGGGCAACTTGCCCGTTAGAATCTGCGAAGTAAAATAAACAACAACAACAACAACAAACAACAACTTTTATGCCTTGGGATGTCTCAGTACTCCTTGTCAGTTTTGTGGTAGATTATGCACGTCTGACCATTCGAAATCTGGTTTAGTTCAATGGTGGAGTCGATCGCAAGACTTGTGCCCGCATTTTTCCATGTTACAAAACAGAAGAAGTTTCGAGGCATTATAGGGCAGTTGGTTTACGCACTGGAGGTGTTTTGTTTTCTTTTTTTTCTACAAAATCCACATTGTTTTTTTCTTTTTTTTCTACAAAATCCACATTGTTTTTTTTCTTTTTTTTTCTACAAAATCCACATTGTTTTTTTTCGTTTTTTTTCTACAAAATCCACATTGTTTTTTTTGTTTTTTTTCTACAAAATCCACATTGTTTTTTTCTTTTTTTTCTTCAAAATCCACATTGTTTTTTCTTTTTTTTCTACAAAATCCACATATCTCCAGACACTGGGGTGAATGATGGAGTGTGGTGGTGGGGCCCATTAAGCTCCGCCGACCAGAGGTCTCGGCTTCATAGCTCCATGGACGCACCAAAGGGAGATTGGGTAGGGAAAATTAAATTGAAAAAGAAAACAGAAGAAAGAAAATGGAAAGATTGTATTTCAGTGAGCAAAAGAATAAGTTGAGTATTGATGTGAACGCTGTTAGACTTTTAAATTCAAGAGGAGACTGTCTGTGAGGAGAGATTACATGTACGTCCAAGCAGGGTAGGACACTGTACCCTCTTACTCGCGTATGCTATGAGTGGCCCAGTGCCAGTTCGTTCTGAGGAGGTGGTGATAAGCTGCTGTCTTGAACTTTTGGATGTTCTTTGGGTGAAATGGGTGGGGAATGACAGAGGAAGGCAGCTGGTTCCAAATTGGGATGACGGAGTGGGGAAAGGCTCGGCTCACATTGTTCCGGGAATTGGCAGGAAGAACATTCTGTAACTGATGGGGATGCGCGGTGGACAGTCGTACAGCCTGACGGGTGAGGCGTGTGGTCCTGGGTTGGTGTGTCGGGGGTGGAGCCATTCCTGAGAGAAGAGAGGGAGAATTATCGCAAAGGGCTTTATACAGGAGGCAGAGGGCAGCGATGGTGCGGCGAATTATGAGGCTAGGAAGCCAGCATTGCGGATGTATTGCCTTGATGGCTCGCTCCTGCACCCAGTCCAGCCGATTCAAGTGGGAAGGAGCTGCCCCCATCCAGACGACTGGGCAGTACTCCATAACCGGCCGGACAAAGGCTTTGTAGGCTCGACGCCGGTCGGGAATAGCCAGCAAGTGAAATGCCTTGCGCAAGGCTCCAAGTCTCTGCGTTGCTCGGACTACAACAGTTCGGATATGCTGGCTGAATTTTAGCTGATGGTCAAACGTGACGCCGAGTACTTTGATGGAGGGCTGCAGGTGTGGTGGAACTAGGTCTCAGGTCGTTGAATGTCTCAGTAACATGTCAGTTTTGTGCCCTGTTATCGCACTTTCTGACTGCTTATTATCTTATCTCAGTCGTGGATAGTTGCTTCATAACTCGTTTCCATGTGATTTCTTTTATTTTTTAATTACGAATCCGCGTATCTTTTGAATGTCATGTTCCATAATCCTGTTTGATGTGTCTTACTACAGTGTTACCATCTCCGAGAATTATGTGAGGAAGCCGAGCATTACCCGCTGACCCCTTAGTCACGTCGCCCTGGTACGAGCGTACTAAAGACAACTGCACAATACATGTACATGTACATGTTTAACTCGGATACTGAGCCAATAAAATAATTATAACTATAATAGATATTCGCATGCAACGACGCAAATCCACACAATTCAGTAGTCACTTCTTTTCTATCAAACGTTTTCTTTCCCTTCTCTTCAGGATAGTACAGGGAATGTTGTAAATTTGAAAAACACACAACTATAGAGAATGAAAGAAAGAAAAAAGTCAACACTTCAACATAGGTGTTAAAATGATTAAAGTGTTAAAAACTCAAAAAAAAACAGCTGCAAGTTGTATACAAACACGTTGAACACATCAGGGAACACTTGTCACACTTTCACGAGGTGTGACACCAAACAACTGCAACGATAACACATTCTCCTTCTGTACACATAGTTCTGGATCTACATGTAGTTTACGAATATACAGAGCTTCTAACACAGCAAGATGTAACTTAGACCTTCCACGAGTCAAAATCGAAAAGATATGATGTCACGGTGTTCAACGTGTTTGTCTACAACTTGCAGCTGCTTGTTTTTGAGTTTTTAACACTTTTAAAATCATTTTAACACCTACATGTACATGTATGTTGAAGTGTTGACTTTTTTCTTTCTTTCATTCTCTATTATAGTTATGTGTTTTTCAAATTTACAACATTCCCTGTACTATCCTGAAGAGAAGGGAAAGAAAACGTTTGATAGAAAAGAAGTGTCTACTGAATTGTGTGGATTTGCGTCGTTGCATGCGAATACTTACATGTATTACGAAACTGTTTTCCCACCGCCTCCAAACTACTGTTTGAACTATAATAGAAGAAGTCTTTTTTTTTGAAGAAGTCTTTTTCACACATACAATTGTTTTCATTTGTTTGGTGTTGTGTTCTAATCATTCGCCATGCCACTGTCATATACATGTATTATATGTATTCTGTTTGCCCCTAAAAGAGGCCTTTACTATCCGTTATAATAGAAGAAATCACATGGACACGAGCTATGAAGCAACTATCCAAATCGGTTCCAGTACTGTCTACAATCCAGGAGGCGCGTGACAAGTTTGACAAGCGCTGTAGTTGTTCCCCACTGGTGCTGTTTCAAGAGCGTGACACTTGAAACCTTGCTTACACTTAACAGCGCACACAGCGCAGGTCCTGACCAAGACAGAGCGCTGCTTGTGTGTAGGCTGAAAGCTAGACGTGCTCAGGAGACGTGGTGAGGCTACCCAGCGCGTCCAGCATGCTGGGAGATGTGATAGATGGGGCTCAACAATACTACTCTGAACTACTGAAGTACAGTCAGTGGCTGTTGTGGAAGTCATGTACATGCATGTCAGGAAGTCTTTGTGTATGCCTCCAGGATCAAGCCTAGCCCTGGGTGCTGAAATCAGTGCAGGGTGCTGTCAGTGCAAGTGAAATCAGCACAACACGGGAAGGGAATGGACTCTGGAATGCACTGCCTGTGCATGTGGAAGATGTTGTGGAGCTGAAGCATTATTTTTATAGAGCATTATGCTATTATAGTTCATGGCCTCCCTTAACCTGCGGCTCCACATGGGCACAACAAGCCAGTACCAGCCTACATGTATTTGCCCAGTATCACTACGAAGAAGCTTGTTCACCAGGCGTTCACAAAGCCTGGTGGCAAAGCTGCATACAGTACGTTTGGCAAGATTTGGAAAAGAGACTGCCATGATATCACCGATTACGAAACAATGTGTGCGGCTGATGTAGACATAACTAGATGTTCTAACTACCAGTACCAGATAAAACTATCAATATCCTTTAACCCGGCATTGATCCTAGCTTCTTCACTACTTTGCATCTGCCTCTACGCATCACTCCGGCTGGCATATCCTCAAACAGAGCCAAATACCTTTTCCAGTAGATTCGTGAGCAACACCATCCACAGAACAGAGATAGAATGTGTCTATCTCAACAACAGGAAGATCCAATGCCATCATAAACCTTTCCTTTTGAGGATTATGACATACAGATTTATTCTGCAAAGTTTGGTTGCAATCATGCTGCTTGAATTCTCACAGCATTGCCATTGGTTCCAAAATGTAGCATAAAATCCTGGATTTTTGCTATTTTTCCTCAAAAAATTGCAGGAAAAGTGCAAAGAAATTGTCATTGTATCTAACTGAATATGTATGCAATCCACCTAAAATTTCACCAGAAGTTGAAGAAAGGTTCATGGGTCAACAATCCAGCACAAACTCAATTTCGCCAAAATAGCACCTAAGGTCGGTTTTTGCAGAGCGCTGGTCATTAATTATTATATTTACTTACTTCAGTGTTCCGTTCGCACTGCACATGTTGTACTGACTATAACTACTGGTGCATGCAGCGCTGCTGATCACCCGAAAAGTGTGGTCTATACTATAGTATACAGTGTCCGCGAAGATTATTTTTCATAATCCCCGCGGCGGAAATAATCCCCTCGGAACCGTGCAATATCCTATACATACACCAGATCAAGGTGTGGGTCCTCTGCACTCAGGAGAGTCAAGTCGAGCGAGCTGCGACTCCCGGTGCCGAAAGGCGGGCTCACGCCCCGACATGGCTACTTCCCCTTGTCTAGCCCCCAAGACGAAAATGATTAGTAGCCGACTGGCCGAAATTAAAAATTAAAAAAAAAAATCCTATACATAAGATTAGTGGAGTTCACTCTGATACAGGGGCTTGCTCGGCTCGCTGGTAGTCTACATGGTGACCATTGGTGACTACGACTACAAGACAGTGTAGTCGACTGACTCTGTCATGTACTTATGCCGTTGAGGTAGACCTAAGCTACATGTAATGATGTAGCAGCTAGCTGACTACTACTACTACTAGTACTAGCTGTAGATATACTGTCTGTCAAGACCTTCATGAAAATAAATAATTCAGCACCCTGCGCCGCACAACTATTTCAGCCAGCGCACGTGGACCCAAACCTTTGCGGAGCTTTTTTCTCGAGCTTTAGAAAAAGTGGTAGACCTACCATGTGATTTCTACCTGTCCCGCGCCGCTCCCACGTAGATCTGCAGATACTTGAATCGAATACAGCCGTCGGGTTCTGATTGAATAGGAAGAATACGACAAAATAATAGGTTATACTAGACCACTAGTAGTAGCACTACCCCCGAGCAGTGGTTATTGCATAAAGACAGTGGCTACAGTGCCCGCGACGGTTCAAGGCCGTAGCACTGATCCGCAGCCTCACAGGTCCGGCACAATGATGAGTTCGTCCAGGCGATCCAGGACCTGCGCACTCATCGCCTGTTCGCTAGTGGCGCTAGCTCTGTCTCAGAGTTTACTCGCCAGCTGCGCAAATGTCCGTGGGGAACCCACTGAGAGCAAGAGGACGGCGGGGCAGCAGCAGGAGGAGGAGTATGGCCGAGAATCCGCGGCGGGCAGCAAGCCCCACATCGTGTTTGTGCTGGTCGATGACTGGGGATACAGCGACGTCGGGTTCCGCAATCCCGCCATCAAGAGTCCGATGTTCGACGAGCTAGCGAGCAGCGGCGTTCTCCTGGACCGACACTACGTATATAAGTACTGTTCGCCGAGTCGGGCATCGCTGATGAGCGGACGGTGGCCACACCACGCACACCAGTGGAACATTGTACCGCAGACCGTGCCACTGGGACTGAACCTGAACTTCACGGCCATGCCGGCGAAGCTGAAACAGGCCGGCTACGCCACGCACATGGTGGGAAAGTGGCACCTGGGACTGAAGAGCGAGGAGTACCTGCCGGTGTCGCGCGGCTTCGACACGATGACGGGCTTCCTGACCGGCGGCGAGGACCACGTCACGCAGCGCATCCAGTGCGGCACGGACTTCTGGACGGGCCGGGCGCCGGACACGCGCAACGGCACGTACGACGCGCTCACCTACTGCAGCGTTCTGGAGGAGATGTTCAGCTCGCACAGCGCTGACACGCCGCTGTTCCTGTACCTGGCGCTGCACAACGTGCACGCGCCGTTCCAGGCGCCGCAGGACTTCGTCGACAAGTACGCGGCGAACTCGACGTGCAAGCAGCGCCGCATGTACCAGGCCATGGTGAGCGTGGCGGACAACGTCACCGCGCTGGTCGTGCAGCGCCTGAAGGAGAAGGGCATGTGGAACAATACGCTGCTGGTGGTGTCTTCCGACAACGGCGCCGCTCCGTGCGCGGGCAGCAACTATCCGCTGAAAGGGTCCAAACTGACCTTCTTCGAGGGTGGCGTGCGCGCCAGTGCTTTCGCGAACGGTGGACTCCTGCCGGCGAAAATGTCCGGCACCAAAGTCGAGGGCTACATCCACATCGCCGACTGGTACCCAACTTTCTGCAAGCTGGCCGGCGTTGACCCGGATGATTCGGGTCCGGGCCGTTTCCCCGTGGACGGGCACGATGTGTGGCCACTGCTGAGCGGCGAGTCGACGGAGAGCACTCACGATGACATCATCCTGGGATTTAACTACAGCGACTATCACCCGCAGCAGGGCGCCATCATAGTCGGCGACTACAAGCTCATTGTCGGCGCGCAGAAGTTCCCGGGCAACTGTGACTCGCTGATGCACCCGCCGATCGACTACCCGTGCAGCAAGGCCCCGGAGGAAGCGGACTGCGACCCAATGTGCCTGTACGACATCCGCTCGGATCCGCGCGAGACCCACGACCTATACAAGAGTCAGCCGGCCGTTGTCCAGCGTCTGCTGCACCGCTACATGCAGTACGCCGATGAACCACGCGCCATGCAAGACCAGGGCTATCACTCGCGCGCCTCGCTGCCCAACGAGGCCGACGTGGCGTGCGCGTACTTTGCCAAACACGGCGGCTACTGGCGTCCGTGGCACACCTCCGACAGCGCCGCTCAGCTTGTGTGAGCGTGCGGACACCTGCCATCAGTCTGGCTGTGTGTGCGCTTTGACATCAGGGTGCTGCAGGATGTATTAAGGGCTACATCGCTGGCTGCAGTGTTCCATTACTGCTGCTACACTCAGTGTTCCAACGTCACACAACAGTGAAACATTCAGCACGAAGCACAGCGCTGTATTAAACCCATGATTTTGAAAAGAACTCAGGATGGGACTCGATGATATGAAGAGGGTCCATGGTTCGAGTCCTGCTGGTGGCGGTCAATTTTTTCTTCAGACTTTTCCCGTTTGTATCTTTCCCTCGAACCAATGGATATGAAGCACTGTGGGATCCGATTTACTAAAGACTCCTTTCTTCGCGGATCCTGCTTATTTTTCTTTTTCTTATCGACTTATTATTCTTTTCCTTCCTAGCCGTGGTTGGCTATAGAAAACCCTGCAGTCGCCACGCAAAGTGGTCATTGGCTACTACCCCAGCCATGTATTGCTTGAAATAAAACTAAAACCAAACTAAAATATACTCGGAAGTACTACTACCGATAGTACGATAGTATAGCAGACAATTGGCCCTTGATTAAGTTGCTATACATAGGAACTTGTGGCCAGACACAAGGGGTGCATGGATGCAGCTAATGGGGTTTCTCGGCACTTGTGCCAGTGGTTGTGAGACTTATGCACTTACTCCCATGGTCATGCGCTGCATCTGCGGCTAGGGTTTACCGGGTATTATTATTATTATTATTATTATTATTTGAAACTCTGATGTTGAGCCATAAATAAATGTGGAAGAGAAAAAGACATATGGATACGAGTTAAGAGTAACTCTCCATCACTGTAACATGATACTATATACAGTCAGAAAGTGCAATAACTAGGCACAAAACTGACAGAGTATTGAAACATTCTACGTCCTGACACCTAGCTTCAACACATCTCCGTAGCGCTAACCGACAGCCTTCCAACTTGGAAGGTTCAAGGTTATGGAAAAGACCAAAGAGGGGAAGGCAAGCGCAACGAAAACGAGCAAAAGCTACAGTCCCAACGGAACAAAGAATGTCGATTGTTACTGGACGATGACGAGACCAGTACGATATTTGACAAAGCGGTCTAACTACAATTCGAAGCAGCAAAGCAGCACACCACCCAACTTGGGTGGGTCATAAATATCAAAGATAAGTAAAGAAAGGGAAGCTTTGCATCACAATGTCATGCATGAGGAGTACTGTAGGAGTTTGGCTTTCGGCTTGTACAATTCGTTTTCGCAAAGCTTCCCTTTCTTTACTTATCTTTGATATTTATGACCCACCCAAGTTGGGTGGTGTGCTGCTTTGCTGCTTCGAATTGTAGTTAGACCGCTTTGTCAAATATCGTACTGGTCTCGTCATCGTCCAGTAACAATCGACATTCTTTGTTCCGTTGGGACTGTAGCTTTTGCTCGTTTTCGTTGCGCTTGCCTTCCCCTCTTTGGTCTTTTCCATAACCTTGAACCTTCCAAGTTGGAAGGCTGTCGGTTAGCGCTACGGAGATGTGTTGAAGCTAGGTGTCAGGACGTCGAATGTTTCAGTACTCTGTCAGTTTTGTGCCTAGTTATTGCACTTTCTGCTGTATATAGTATCATAATACAGTGATGGAGAGTTACTCTTAACTCGTATCCATATGTCTTTTTCTCTTCCACATTATTATTATTATTATTATTATTATTCAAAGGATCAGTCGGGGAAGTGAACTGCCTGAAAAGAGAAAAAAAACGCCAGACCCACCAGGACTCGAACCTGGGACCCTGCTTGTCATGAACAATGCTCTAACCACTGAGCTATGGGACCAGGCTAGTCCCATAGCTCAGTGGTTAGAGCATTGTTCATGACAAGCAGGGTCCCAGGTTCGAGTCCTGGTGGGTCTGGCGTTTTTTTCTCTTTTCAGGCAGTTCACTTCCCCGACTGATCCTTTGATTATGAAGTTCTCCCAATCCTTTCCAAATTATTATTATTATTATTATTTCGTAATAAGTATTCGCATGCAACGACGCAAATCCACACAATTCAGTAGACACTTCTTTTCTATCAAACGTTTTCTTTCCCTTCTCTTCAGGATAGTACAGGGAATGTTGGAAATTTGGAAAACACACATTATTATTATTATTATTATACGCATTCCCGCGTTGAAGTGTAGCAGCAGTATGCTGCGTCCACAGCTTCGCTTATGCAGAATGGCTTGGGTGAGAGGAGAGGGGAGAGAAAGCAACAAGGCAACCAACATCTATGAAATTGGCCACAATAACATGAAGAGAACCAACCATTACCTACATATGCATGATTGCACAAGAATGGGGACGACAAAATATAATGGCTATATAAATCATTGTGCCACAAAACCGGTACACAGGAGATCTGTCGACAATGTAACGAAACATAAAACTCAGTTACTCAATACAGGTTCCACTAAATTACAAGAGAACAACGCTACAACGTTAGAATTGCTGCTAAATTATCGCAAGTGTAGAGAACGAGTCAAATGAAAACCATGAACAGACTGTCCCGAAGTTATTTTGGGAACAAACTGTACTACATGTACTTGCTGACACTGACGCTGACGGAACACGAATTTGAGTTGAATACTCACGAAGTCTTGTACACACATACTACTGTAAAAGCACATACTACTGTAAAAGCAGAAATTCTCGGTGGTGTTTTATGTTCGGTAACTTCGGTGCCGACAATGTTTACCGAAAATAAAACGCACCGAAAATTAAGTACTAGTACACCTACCTGGAAAACGGGTTTTACCGAAAATTTCCCTCCACCGAACCGCCGTCTTTGGAGAATACCGAAAATATTACACCACCGAAAATTTCTGCTTTTACAGTATATAGAACAGTGGCGTGTCCAGGATTTGGCTGAGGGGGGGGGGGGGGTTGCGGCCGGGATCAAGGCAGGATGGGGTGGGGGTAGATGACATCATGATACTGTCCCAGGTCAGCCATTTTGAAAACCGATGTCAAGAAGCTCCTCCTGTAGCCCCCTTCTTCAACAGTTATTCACCCGAACGGCCCCAGAGACTGTTCCGGAGCATCAGCGCACCACACGGGGACAAGTGTCGAACTTGCTTCAAGTTCCCTTTCTTCGTGGGCCTGCGGGACGATCGACCATGATGTTTCGGGGAAGCATTCTCTGGAACGCTCTCCCCTCTGATTTTAGAGTGATACGTGTCCCTGGTCCCTTCCGAAAAGCTCTTTCTGCCATTGATATACTGGCTTACTGTGTGAATATCCTCGTTAAACTTTTATTATCTGCCATAAATTCCAACCTTCTCATCTATCACATTTGTGCATGCATGTCTATAAAATCAACGACGTGTTCCTGACTCCATGAGATTGTCTTTCTATTCTTTGACTCCATGAAATTATTGTCTTTCTATTTCTGACTCCATAAAATTGTCTTCATATAAATTTTTCCTTTTCTTCTTTTGGTCCTTTCTGTCTTATAATTATTATTATTATCATTTCTTGTTTTCCCTTGCATATCATCCCTTCATCATTCTGTGAGAACCTGTCCTATGGGCAGGTGAGAAGGCATCTCTGCCTGCTCATTTGGTGAAGTAAAATAAACAACAACAACAAGCCGTAAATCTCACACACCACGAGCAGTATTTCTGTACACGCAGCAACAATGTACATTGTAAACTTCAAATTTGCCGTTAGGTGAGCGAATCAACTGCAATTATTTATGCGAGTCCAACAATTTCTCACCGCTCTCAAAGAGTCAAAGCATCCTTTACATAGGCAGCGGTACTTGTCACTGTGCGCTGTTCTTCATGTTCTGGCTACTCGCTGACAGCAGATTCTTCCGCGTCTGGCGGAGTGTGACTGTCAGTCCGCTCCGAAAGTTCAACTGGAATAACAGCGACTTCATCACTCCCACTGTTTGCTGTTGGAGCGGCAGCAGGAGTTGCGCCGCCACAGGAACGCTTTACAAAAATTCCAGGCTCTGCTGGCTAGAGCTTGGCCTTTTGGGATGTCCCTGAGACATCGAAGAAAAGCCTTCGAGTCAACCAAAACACGATTCGAACGAGGATGATCGCCTGAGCCCTCGGCATTCGAATCGTGTTTTGGTTGACTCGATCGAAGACTTTTCTTCGATGTTTGTACCGTTGAAGACGCGTCGAGCGCGTCCCAGCAGGGATCACACTGTACAATAGTACACAGTCAGGTCACCATGTGAGCCGAGCCAAGCAAAAAGGTGGCTTAGGCATAATTTTTGGAAATTTCTTTTTTCATGCCAAAGCGATGTCTACCTATCCAACTTCCATCAAGGAAATTTTGGTGCCCATCTGAAATGTATATGTGCCATAAATAGGCATACATTGCCTGCACATATACATGTCACAGAATGCCTGGTATCAATGAAACTAAGATAATAATTATGAAGACCTACTTCAGAAAACATGGGACACCAAGTAGAGAGACAGAGCTTAGCAGGTGTGGAAGCAATACAAGAGGAACGAGCACTTGTGTTCTGATTAGAAGATCCAAGAAAGAAGAAATAATTGATCTATTCATCAACGACAACACATTCTCCTTCTGTATACATAGTTCTGGATCTAGTTTCTCGTGGAAGGTCTAAGTTACATCTTGCTGTGTTAGAAGCTCTGTATATTCGTAAACTAGATCCAGAACTATGTGTACAGAAGGAGAATGTGTTATCGTTGCAGTTGTTTGGTGTCACACCTCGTGAAAGTGTGACAAGTGCTTCTTGATGTGTTCAACGTGTTTGTCTACAACTTGCTGCTTTTGTTTTCGAGTTTTTTTTCACACTTTAGTCATTTTCTCGCCTATGTTGAAGTGTTGACTTTTTCTCTATTTTTTCTATATAGTATGTGTTTTTCCAAATTTCCAACATTCCCTGTACTATCCTGAAGAGAAGGGAAAGAAAACGTTTGATAGAAAAGAAGTGTCTACTGAATTGTGTGGATTTGCGTCGTTGCATGCGAATACTTATTACGAAACTGTTTTCCCACCGCCTCCAAACTATTGTTTGAATTATTATTATTATTATTATTCCCGTTTGTCTCTTTCCCTCAAAACCAGTTAATATTATTATTATTATTATTATTATTATTATTATTATTCCACAAGCACGATGACATAGTGCCAATAAGCATGTGATGCGGGCGATTTTAACCAGCCATGGTGGGGATAACTGAGAAAAAGAAGGAGAAGAAAAACAGAAAAGAAAACAAAACAAAAGAAGTACTAAAGGAACCTGGAGAGAGCAGTATAGAGATTAGGCTAGCAATGGAAAACAACGAATTCAATTCAATTCAACTTAGGCGCGGGCAAAATGGAACAAAATGCAGCGAAGGTGTCACGAGACTTTACCTCCTGCGGAAGCCGAGACCAATGAGAAAAGGACTTGAACAGAGGGGATTTTAAAAGGATCGATGATCTGGCAAGTGGGAAATGGAGAGAACATCTAGTACGCGAGCTATTATTGAACCAGCTGTAATGCGCAAGTGCATGAGGAGGAGCAAGTTGAAGCTTAATACGGTGAATGAATTTGCATGCCGAGTGGGGAAAGCGTTCTGAGAGGAGGTCAGAGGGGGCATGCGAAATATTAATCGAAGTAATTTACGGTGGGTGACTTCTAACCGATGCATAAGAGCGGAGGATAGACCGGAGGACCAAACGAGAGAGCAGTAACCAAACAAAGGAAGAATATAAGAGTGATAAATTTGTATTCGACAACCATGGATTGGTGTAGATGGGAGATGTGAGGAGAAATGCAGCCTATCGCGGAGCAAACTCGCTTTTCAATAATATAGGTTACGTGCGAATCCCAGGACAAGTGTTCATCAAGAGATATACCAAGGTGTTTGTGATTTTTAACAGTGTGGATAGCAATGGGATCATCAGGGAAAGTAAAGAGCCGAGTCGTAAAGAGGGTGCTAGCGGCCGTCGTGAGTTCCTTTCGGGAACTGACACGATAATTTACTTACTTCACCTGGTCTATAAAAAGGCTTCTTTTGGAAGTACTGATTGTGTGGTTAGCACTGATATTTTCCCTGTATGAAATTATAAACTTACGAGATAATGGTAGCGACTTCGGCAATGATTACACAGAAAAGATGTTCGCTCTCGACACCGAAGCTCGTGCATTTCCGCCGACTTGACATTTGGCTGACGACTGCCACCCAGAGCACACGAGAAGTCCATCGAACCGTTCACTCGGCAAACCTGCAAGCGGCGCGAGTTTGTGGTAGAGATCGTTATAAGTGGAGTTGACTCTGATATTGTTGGGGCTCGCTCCGCTCGCTGGTGACTACGACTGGCATGGACTCATGCCGTCGTGGCCAACAGACTCCTCTGTCTAGGCTCTGAGCTGGCAGCTAGCTGACGCCTGACGGCTGTCAAGACCTTCATGAAAATAAATAAATCAGCACCCTGCGCCGAACGACAACTATTTCAGCCAGCCAGCGCACGTGGACCCAAACCTATGCGGCCCTTTTTTTCTCGAGCGTTTAAAGTGGCACCACGTGATTTCTACCTGTCCCGCTCCCACGTAGATCTACAGAATTATTCAATACTTGAATCGAAAACAGCCTTCTGGAGTTCTGCGTCTGATTAGAATAAAAATTTATAATTGGGCCAAACTAAAAAAGGTGTGTGGTTTGACTAACATGGACATTTTTTTACGGGCGGGCGGGCGGATTTTTTTTTTTAAATATATATTTTTAGTACATGTAAATACACTGTACTGCCTTTAGACACCCAGTACATCGGCATTATTAGGCAGTGTTATGCCATACATGTTGTATAAAGGGTTCCCGTATGTCACGTGATTGTCGCCTTGGAGTTGACCAATGACAGATCAAACAGCGCGGGCTGGAAAGCGCGGTCCTGCCTGCTCAAACTACCGGTAGTCAAAGGTGATGGAACTGGATCCACTGCCCGTCGTCAAGTGACGACGGGCAGGAACGGATTCCACTGCCCGTCGTCAAGTGACGACGGGCAGGAACGGATTCCACTGCCCGTCGTCACTTGACGACGGGCAGGAACGGATTCCACTGCCCGTCGGGCAGTAGCCACTGGACTGACTCTCTACTTCAAGGTCTTTCATTATTGACATTAATTGGTTACTAATAAAATAACTAAAGCAGAAGAGCGACTGTTTGCAACCACAACTGTCATCATGGCGCTCCAACATTTGATCTGCAACTGGGAGAAAAGAAGCCCCTTTGTTGAACGATATTGGCGATCTGAATGAGCTCCTCCGAAAAGTTGAGGGAGAGACTGAAACTTGTAATGCAGAGTCGCTCGCGAAGGAGATCTTGGACGAGCCGGATGAGCCTCAACCAAAGCGCGCAATGCTCAGCAACCTGCAGGATCCGCGCAATTTGCCGAGGTTTCCGATCAAGACGTGGGAAAAATCCGTAGGAACAGAACAGCCAGAATGCCCGATGCCCAGTCGACAATGTCAATGGCACCGCGAGAAAAAAAGCACTATGGTGCAGTATGGACTACTACAAAAAACTGTACCAGAAAACAATCACAAAACACAATGCAGGTGTGTCGGTCATGTATCTCTTTATTTGGCTTGGGTGCACACGGGAAACACGTTCCAGTCACTCATACTCGGCCAGTGCAGTACCGCTGTTCATCCAGCCCTTGCCGCTATCGCGGCGCGGGCTGGATTCCGCGGTACTGCCCTCATACTCGTGCAGGAACCTGTACATCACCTTAATCTGGAACGAGGCAATCACTCTCAACCGGATCGGACGGTCACTTCAAAAATATTTTAAATAGTCTGCCGGTGGTCGTATCGAGTAGACTCTACTACCAGCACAAGGCAGCAGTCGTACCACTCACTGCACTGCACTGCCGTACAACTACAAGTCAAGTCCAAAAGGAGCCGCCTGCGTCCGCAGACTCACGCTGCACAGCACGTAGACGTGGACGTGTTCAGTCCAGGGAGTCGCGTATAGAGTCCTCTATACGACGACTCCCTGGTTCAGTCCACGTACGTACGTCACACGACAGCCCGCCGAAAAAAAAGGTACGGTCGGGCTGAAAAATGTACGGTCGGTGGGGTGAGTCGAACCACAGACTTTTTTCAGTGTGGCCTTGGAAGACAAATACTACTGAAATAGGTTATACCTGTACCACCGAGCAGTGGTTATATGGCGTACAAAGAGTGGCCACAATACTCGTTCAATCAAGGCCGGAGTAGCACTGATCGGCAGCCTCACAGGTCCGGCACAATGATGAGTTGTTTCAGGCGATCCAGTAGCTGCGTACTCATCGCCTGTTCGCTAGTGGCGCTAGCTCTGTCTCAGAGTTTACTCGTCAGCTGCGCAAATGTCCGTGGGGAACCCACTGAGAGTGAGAGCAAGAGGACGGCGGGGCAGCAGCAGGAGGACGAGTATGGCCAAGAATCCGCGGCGGGCAGCAAGCCCCACATCGTGTTTGTGCTGGTCGATGACTGGGGCTACAGCGACGTCGGGTTCCGCAATCCCGCCATCAAGAGTCCGATGTTCGACGAGCTAGCGAGCAGCGGCGTTCTCCTGGACCGACACTACGTGTACAAGTAGCTTGTGGCTCAATGTAGCTGAACCATCGGACCTTATTTGTCAGCTTGGATCACGTGATCCATCCAGCTGCCGCGTGCGGCAAACAGCCCAAATAGCGCTAACTCTGGCCTGCGAGCGTTTGCTGCGACTAGCGCGCTAGCGCTCGTGACATACACAAACGCGCTAGCCAGAATGCTTTGACTTTGATGGCTTTCAGCTTCAATTTTTGAAAAGTAGCGCGCTCAGACCAGCTCGCTCACTCTTTTCCTCTTCCATTTTTTAGGGCAATTGTTTTGTTTGATAGACGAAGCTTAGGGTCTCTTTGGGTTTGCAACCCTTACCCTCCTGGAAAAAATCATAGTTGCTAGACTGCGACACTTCAGACCAGGTACTATTAGAGCCGCTAATGGACGACGAGCTATTTTCCGCTATCCGGAGCTCAAGCATTTGAGCCGCTAAATGGACGAGACTCCTGGGGTAAAGGATGCAGAGAATGAGGAGAAAACACTCGTATGGAGCAGGGAGTAGGTATTGTACTACTTCCAGGTATGGAGCACTGAGAAGCGGTAAGTCTTAGGGCAATTCTTAGCCAGTAATTACTTTCTCGCCATAATTATGTTCTCGTTTTTCGTGTCTTCTGTAATGCCAGTACACTAGCAGTACGACTACACTGTAGGCGAGAGTCCATAAGCCAGAGTGTGCAGCTCTCCATCTATGCAGCATAAACAAATTCATGACAAATGTCCTTTGCCTAAGGGCTGGGTTCCACTGCCGCTCCGCCGCACATCATCCACGGCATGAACCGTCATCATTACGAGCTGGTCCAGCGAGGCCGCGGCTCATCACCAGCTTTCGCTTCGCTGCTTGATACAAAAAAATGCAAGCCGCGGTCACGGCTTGCATTGTTTCCCGCACTTAATTGTTTTATTCGGGGGAATTTTAATTCGTTGCACAGGCCAGAACACGAGGATTTTTTTGGATTTCACGCGCGCACGCAGGCAGACTAAATGTCATCAAAAAACGTCGAGCACGATCGCGGTACCGTGAATGGCGAGTGTCACTGGAACCGCGCCGCTCTGCTGCATGCAGCCAAGTACCGTGGAGCAGCGGAGCTGCGGAGCCGCAGTGGAACCCGGCCCTAACCAAACTTATAGCAATTTGAAAATGTTTGACAATTTTTCATAAAAAACTTGACAACATTGTTCTTCTGTAGAGTGCCGCTGGCAACTCCATCGATGAACTCCATCAATGAGCGCAGGGATAAAGTTTAGAAACCCTTCGAGCGAGAACGTGTTTTCAAAAAGGAAGCACAAATATGCCGCGTAACGTCCCCTCTAGTATGGCCCCATCAAACGACACGCTGACTACTTACCAGTAAAATGGGGTTGGACGGTTGTCAGATTAGCTGACATGTTTTCTGCCAACACAACCATAAGCAGTTGTCAACTCTCAAGACTAAAAGAGCTTGCGAAGAAAGTGAGAAACCTTGGCTATGAAAGCAAATGAAGCGTCAGAACATAATCGAGCAAACTTGGACCTAGATTACCAGTGTCTGCTCCAGAGCCAGGTCAGTGGCCCTGTTTGTGAGTACTTGGACCTTTTGGAAAAAGAACACTGGGTTACCTGCGACCCGGTCGGAAGTCCTGTCGAGTACTATACTTTTTTATACTTCGAGGGTATACCGCCACTGACAGGCTGCATACGCGTGCAGATGCGTGCGGCCAGAGTGCCCAGTGCGAGTACGTTCATACATGTACATGTACAATCATGTACATCAGGAAGTCGAAAGTAAGTTTACGACTCCCTGACACACAGTAGCCGCACTTGAACGCATCTGGCCCTGGCCCAGTGTTGCAGGAGTTGTGCCAGGTAGACGTGTACCCGGTTTGTGTTAAATCTTAGAGCAGGTACTGCATACCCTATCATATCTGTGTACATGGGTATACAGAGTCAGTGTTGTTGCGTCCCACTCAGTACCCTTCTGGTTCATTTCGGCACCAGCACTCTTTGCGTATGCAGAGCTGAGTAGAGTGCAAGTTCGGACCACAAGTACACTGTAGCAGCTAGTTGCGAACCTAACCTGTGCCGTGATGCACGGCACTTGTGTGCATCTACTTTATCCCTGAGTAACCCACCAGGTATATGGTGCACTATAGGGCACAGTAAATAATCAGCATGCATCGCAGTTTTCTGCAACATACATGTATTCCTGAAGTCACTTTACACCTCAGAAGAATTGCGTCGCTAACTGTTAGTTATTCCCTGGGTCATTATGAATCGTAGAAAACCCGTCATACAATAGGTTCAAGCTAAAGTACCGTATCACCATGGTAATTACCTGGAAATTCGGTTTTTTTTCTACGTTTTTGTTAAACAAGCAGCAATGTGCCACAGAAATTACCATGGTGATAGAGTAGATGACCGTGTGAAGCGGTGTGAGATGCAGCAAAGGTGAGCCTGTTACTGCGAGTCTATGCCCTAAACAATAAACTTTGCCGTGGGATGATTCTCTTTGGGCTGCACACTTTGGTTAATGTACTCTTGGTGGCAGCATTCTGGTGCCAAAGATGATATTTTTTCAGAAAAATAAGCACTAGAGAAATGGAGTGGGAGTAACCTGAATTATTCTATTAGCACAGCTGCAATGCTTGGGATATGAGATTATTCCCGTAGCTATGCAAAAGACGCTATTCAGTTGTACTTTAGTAGCATCTGGCGCTAGCCAGTATCCACACCGCTGTAATTCGGTGCGTGTCACGGTGCCTGGTAGGGTGGTTCACGTGGCATGCCATGGTTGGTGCAGTATCCCGTATGTGTCCCGTACCGTGATTCGAGTATGCGGTGCGCACCGTAGCATAGATGTATCTGGAGCGCTGTACGAGCTAAGATGTCGGGGCTAATATGGGGACATTCACAACATGCAATGTGAATATGCACGTCAGTTTCGTTTTAAGAAGTGGGTTTGACGGAGTAAGAAAAGGCCCCAGCTTTGGCTGCTGCATGCTAGCCCAGTGGGTACCAATCTCCTGCCATCGGCCGAGTGCTGATGGAACGGAGTAGAAGAAAAAGAAAGAAGAATATTGCGTTCAAGAATACAATTTCGGTAAGGGATATACAGTAAAACCTGTAACTAAAGACCACCGTCACTAGCGACCAGCCTGGTACTACCGGCCACTTCGTCAGGCACGGAAGGTCTCACATTCAAAATGCACTGTGACTAGCGACTACCTTCTGAATGCGACCAGCGACCGCCTTTTCCTGTCCCAAACACAATTTTTGACCCGTAACTAGCGACCGCGATGTAGGAAATCAAATGTTGCTCGAAGCTCCTTCTTGAAATTTTACTTATTTTCCATGGTCCTGAAAAGAATCTTTCGATACTACAGCTGAACAAATGAATGCAGGTAATTTGGGCTGTGGAGTCGGTGTGGATTGCACTACACCTGTCAAAATTCAAGCGCTGTCAAGAAAAAACGTGATAGGAAACGTCTTTGAGAGCGCATCGAAAGCGCTCTCTGATCGATGTTACTACTCGGAGGAGAAACGAAGACTGGGCAGCTCTGTCACCCCAGTCATACAGACGGATCGACGATGGCATCAAGGAATCCAGAAACAAAGCAGCACCACAAGGTCCTGATGCTGAAGGATCGCGTTCAAGCAATCGAGAAGTCACAACAAGGACAGTCGGTATGATTGATCGCATGAACAAATTTGAAGCCCAGCGCGAAACGAAACTTCCCCAGGGAACGTTTGACTCCTGGCTTCAGAAGTAGCAGCTGAATTTGAAGTCTGCAAAAAATTAATCTTCTCTCTCTCTCTCTCTCTCTCTCTCTCTCTCTCTCTCTCTCTCCATCTCTCCGTCTTTCTGACATTGCGCAAGTCCTGGGGAATTGTATTAGCTGCATTTTGACATACATATCATATAATGGGATCCACATATGGTCACGCGGTGCAAACCTCTAACTAAAGATCACCTGCTACTAAAGACCGCTTTTGCTGGCACCAAGGGGTGGTCGGTAGTCACAGGTTTTACTGTACCGGTAAGTGGATAGCTAACTAAAATAATTAGCCGTATGGTTTAGAAATAGTGGTGGCGACTCTGGATGGCAGTCGTGAGTCCGTCAAGTGTCAAGTCGACGGAATAGCGCGAGCTCCAGTGGGGGGAGCAAACCCATTCCTAGGTTAGCATCCCCCCACCTCACAACAGAGCAACCGAGTTTTGGATTAAGCTGGGAGTGCCGATTCGAGCAACTGGTATGATGGCTCTGCTTGGAGCCACTAGATGGCTCGCAGCTGAGCCGGCAAATGACTCCGCTTGGAGCCGTCAAATGACTCCGCATGGAGCCACCGAATGACTTCGCATGGAGCCGCCGAATGACTCTGCATGGAGCCGCCGAATGACCCCGCATGGAGCCGCCGAATGACCCCGCATGGAGCCGCAAATTGACTCCGCATGGAGCCGCCAATGACTCCGCATGGAGCCGCCAATGACTCCGCTTGGAGCCGCCAATGACTCCGCTTGGAGCCGCCAATGACTCCACATGAAGCCGCCAATGACTCCGCATGGAGCCGCCAATGACTCTGAGTAGAGCCGCCAATGACTCTGAGTAGAGCCTCCAAATGCTAAATATATTGGTATGCATAACCAGTTGAGAGCATATATTCCATATATCGGCACTCCCGGAGCGGATCACAAAGTGCAGCTACCCGTGCAATCTGTAAGCGGTGCAAGCTAGGTAAAGACTGTCAGAACATGATATCATGGGCTGAGGCCATTGCCGCAGCCACCCATACTTAAGCTGCAGGTGGCGTCCGAATGTTACTCGGGCAGACATCGCTTTCCACCTTCCCGCCTCTCTGAATATCGAGTCCCGCAGCTGATTCGAAACGAGTGGCCGGTGTACAACGCCAGGCCAAAGCCACAACTGATGAGCAATATCCTCGCAGTTGCTGTAAATGCCCATCGATTGGCATTCGCAGCTGATGCCGCTAGTTTTCCCAGGTGCTGCGGGCTGCCACAATTGTAAACAAC